GGCTTCAGTCCCTCTCTCCCACTGGCTTTCAGCAACATCTTCCTTTGGCTAAATTTCACCCCTTTAGGGTTTCTCTTCTATTATGAATCCTAAGTCTTCAGCAAATCCATCACCAAACACGCACAGTTCCAATAGGAACAAGGTGGAATAGGATTTGAATCTCTTATTTTTTTCTTTTTTTTTTTTTGAAATTTTCAACATTTTCCTTCAGCTATAACTATTGTGGGGTTGTCAATCGACCCTCTTCATTTCCATCCAAGTGTTCCTCTTTTGTGCAACACAATCGAAATTTGAAATTCTCAATAAGATTATCATCCAAAAGTAATCACTTCCCATGTTGTGTAGTCTCCAGCTGTTTCAATCCGTCCATTTTGGTGGAATTTACAGTTCATTTGAGATCGTTAAGCGTAGAAAGCAATGATCTGGGTGGTGACCAAGGTGAGGTTTTAGGCCTGGATTTGGAGTCTCTGAAGATTTTGCTGAAGCGGGGAGTCTATATTGGGGCAATGCTTTATTGTCTTTCGGTTTTCGCATGCAAGAGAGTGCTCGCGATGGAGGGAGTGGTGAATGTAGGGTACGGAGTGATTGAGCAGTGGGCATTGTTGTTGAGGAATGCGTGGCCTAAGGTTTCTATGGTTCCTAAGATTTTCAAAGAGCAAGGTGTGATTTTGACTGCACTTTTAGGTCTATCTGCATTCTTCTCAATGGCAGAGCCTTCTATAACTACAACTCTGGCCATGGAAGTTTTGCGTTCTTGGTTTGAAGATTGATAGCTTCTTATAATTAGTGAATAGCAATTGAAATCTAAGTTTTAGTATGGAAACATGAACAAAGTTGAAAAAGATAAATATATGAAGTTGAAGAACATTCATAGTTATTGATTGTTAGTGTTTCAGTAATTTTGTGTTATGGCTTAGATAAATATATGAAGTTTGTGCCTTGTTTGCCTCTTTTTGTGCTCGTATGTAACTCATTGTGAATTTGTAGTAATTAGAGTAAAGGGCTTAAATTTGTTTTAGGATAAATCTCTTTAAGTTAGCTCCTGTGTTGTAGAGTTCCTTGTTACAAAGTTTTGTACTTCCTTTGTAAACAATAAAGGAAGAATGAATAAGAAATCATGTTGGGTAACTCTAATAGACTCCAGAATGATCAAAAGGTGGGTGGCAATGGTAAATGAGCTGGATCTTTTGTGACCATAGGGTCTTTGAGTTCAAGATTTGGTATTTTAGGTGGCTCTAGAACTTTCTATGACCTAGATACTCGTATTTCAACTCT